TGGAAATGATGATGCATACAATGGACTCCGGACTAGGTGCGCTCCTCTAAGTCTTCCTACTAATATGACCGAGTTGCGAAAACAAAGTCAAACAACTTATAAACCTTAATTTGGCTAAAATAAACTTACTCTGATGTTCCGAGAAGTGAAGATGCTGTCAAGAGCATTCTTAAAAGTTCAGGCCCATCCCATTGTGATTCTTTCATCCATTAACAGTGGTTCAGGTTATGTATGCAATTCTTCCTGAGCAGACAGCAAAGGTTTATCCCCCCTGATCTCTGACCATCGTGCGCCAGATTTTCATACCTCAGCCGAGCCTTCTAGAGCCTGGAAGCCCTGTTGGGCATTTTTACAAACTCGTTCGCACTACTGTTTTGGCCAAAGGCACCACCAACAGTTGTCGTGACGACGGTCTAGCTATCAAGCCAGTAAAGTTGTGGATAGAATGTGTTTTCTCCTTTCACCGTCAAAAAAGCTTAATCTCTCTCCACTTCAAGTCTATTCACCAAGCGCCGCAGCTGGCAAGTGAACCAACAAGGTTGGCCATTGATCAGGCGAACAGGGGTTACTTGGAAATCACGGCTTCACGTCAGAACTCCACCTCCCTACCAACACACACACACACAGATACAAACATTCAGTGTCCCCTTGGAGAGACTCGGAGCCGGGGCGCCTTGTGCACGGTTAATTTGCTCGCCCCCGGGCCGCCTCGTAAAAGAGGCGAGAGAGAGACAAAGAGGCGAAAGTAGGAAAGAGACACCTGCAGCCCCGGTGATTTCGCGCAGGGCCCCGGAAACGAAAGGCATTGCTGAGCGTGTCTCCAGAACGCCAGGCGCGTGCGTGCCCAATGGACGGAGCTGTACCTCCGGTACTCCTACACCTACACCTACACCTACAACTACAGCTACGGTTACCGTCCATGTCCAAGTGGAGGAGCCCCGGAGGCTGGCCTTTGCATGTCTGTCTCTGGTCGAGCAAGACTAGTGAAGTGGAAAGAAAAGACGCCGGGGACTGTGGGCAAGTTGGGAGTAGAGTGTGGCCAGATTTAGCAGATTGATAAACTGAGGCCTTAAAAAATCGCGCTCCTAATGGTAGCGTGCATTTGGTTCGTGTCACCTAACATGGTCTCCCATCTCTCGCTCTCTCTCTCGCGTCAGCTCTGATGGGCCGTGGTAGTCGTCGCTTGAAGGTTCTGGTCTGCAATGCGATCCTGCATTGTTTCCACTCGCCAGTTATCACTAGGCCGGTAGCCTGGCCGAGTCCGACCAACCCCGTTGGGTTTCCCCCTCCTTCGAACTCTCATCAATTCGGCGTGGAAATGCAGTTTTTTAAGCCGAGCCCCCAGGCCATCGTTCCGTGCTACCTGGCGCACATTCACGTCTTGTTGCTGTTGTCTCTGGTGTTTCATCGAAATCCTAATGCAGGGTTAGAGGCAGCCGACTTGATCAAACCGGTGTTTCTGGTGCACTATTGTACCCTAGTTGGGTGAAAACTCATGCGCCAACTTCGCCCTGGCAACAGACTACTGGTCTTCTGTTTTTCAGGCGAGTAGATGAGTAGACAGACAGAAGAGATTTGCAGGGAAAGAGGGAATAAATAAACTATTCGTTGCGTGATTACTGGCCGAGCCTGTTTGAAAGGAGTCATGGGGGTCTTGTCCCATGATGTTATCTTGATCCCTTGGGATGTCAGAAGTTGTTAGATGGGGCGGAGTTATTTTGTCCCAGCAGCTGCTCCTCCCCTCGTCTTTCTCACCTGCCGAGGCCTGCGACAATCCTAGCATAGGCTAGGTTCACGCTATGAAGAACTCGCTTCGCACCCTTGTCGGTACCCCGACGAAAGCCGAGCTTGGAGAGCGGTCAAGTGGTCATGACGACGGAAACGGGAGAGGCAGATAAAGTAGGCGGGAGGTCGAAGCATCGAGACAAGATTGATGACCATTCTGCCAGAAGATTGTATTTGCTTTTAGTCATGATGGCTTCTGCCTCCACCTAACATTCATGTCAAACGCAGTAGATGCTCTGCTCCCTAGCCTTGGCAGATTGCGGACCGAACATCTCACCTGGTAGGACGGAGCTTCAAGCAGATTTTTAATAAGTAGCAGGTGATTTTGGGTCCGATACTTTCACATGTAATGATGATTCTGACTTATTCTGCGAAAGATCCACTAACCTCACTCCTAGAATAAGCACTTGAGCCGGCACAAGGCTACATGAGACGCTCCTTCAAACAGGAGGGATTATGATTTCCCAAAATTTGATCGAAATCTGTGTTTTTCAACTTAGTATTAGCTTGAAACAATTTAGTTACTGTGAATTCACTTCAAAAACAATGATAGTACAAAAAATGTCCTCTCACGCTCCCGTACACGGAAGTGGAAGATTGTGAAATAAAGGACAATTGGAATTCCATTTGGGATTATTGCTTGCTTAACTTTGGAAACATACACCTTGATGCACAGTCGACAGATCCACTTATTCCTCGGAGAACTACAAGTTAGCAAGAGGCAACCTGCGAAAAAAATCAGAGCATATCTTAAATGATAGATCCTTACTAAAGCCCTCAAGAAAATTACTACTATTTTTTCATCTCAACTCCAACGAATGTATGCATGCATGCATGTATGTGTGCGTGCTGTATGCGCCTGCAGACAAGCATTTATTCGCTTGTGTGCGTGTGTCCGTGAGCGCAGCCAATAGACCTTTACTTGGATGTGACAGTGTCATCGATGTAGATACTGAAGTCTCCATTAGATGCGGGATTCATACACAAACAAGACTATAAACGGAGCTTGGCGTCAAGCCTTAATTTAAGTGTGTCTACCAAATTATGTGTTTAAACCTTTGATATGCAACTAATTCCTCCATCCCTCTGTCCATTTTATGCTGGCAACGTTCACACACACTGATAGGAATACACAAATAGCGCATTAAAGCCTACCCTTAGTCAAGCACCAACTTCGAATGGTCCACATTTTTGGTACCTGTTTCAAAGGAATTTGTGGGGCTAGTCAAAACCCTTCCTAATTTAGATTCATTATAAATTAATATAAACATCCGAGGTAGCAGGCGGCAAGTGCGTTAAGTTGCATTTTTCCTCATTTCGCCTCACAAGTTTGTCTGAAGTTCGCTTCCCCTCACCAACTGAAACTCTTTTCGCAGTTCCAAGGCACTTAGAATTATGGGAGTGGTGCGAGGGTAGATTTCGCCCGTGACGACAAAAGGGGGTATAGTTGAGGGAATGGGCTTTTCTTCCCTCTAAATCCAAATTTATATAGCAGAAAATATAGACGACTAAATAGAGTTCGCTTTCGAAGTCGCCTGACCTGTAGGGAATTTTTACGAATAGAGCCCATCAACAGGGAGCAACCGAATAAAAAGACCCTTTCACAGAAGTGATTAGAGGGAGAAAAGGGGGAGTTGTCGCAGGTTGTGAGTGTTCGAAATGGTTGGATGGCAGAAAAGCAGAATACATATAGCCTTGTTGGGTCTCTGCAAATGGGTAATTGAGAGCCTAATTGTTGACAATTCCACCATTCCTGAGCTGACCCACAAAACACCGGCAGACACTCATTTATCTGCTCAGTCATATATGTATGTGTGTGTATGCGTATGCGTGTGCGTATGTGTATGCACATATGTGTGTTTATGCCTATGTGTTCTAGTGGGATTGTAGCTAGGCTATGTGTTGGAGGGTTTATTAAGTTATGACTATTTTTCGGTCATTTACAGAGTTCTATGAGGCTGGGAATATATATTCACCTCCAGGCTCCAAGGCTTAGAATTTCAGACTCGTACCAAAAAGTAAGTTAACACAGCTGGACTCGCTTAGGACAGGTTGCATCGAAGTGGCTAGCGAATCTGAGTGTTAGCCACAAAGCCATCAACTCCAGGCATGACATTATTTGTTGTTTAGGTATGATGACAAAGATGGTATTGTCAAAGGTCTGATCGCAGTCTCTTTTAGTTGTATAGTGGTGGTTTGACTCTTCTTTTGCAACATGGTTTGGATGAAGGGAAGATCGTTTAGAACGTCCCCCATCAAAACACCCTCTTTCAAAAGACGTCATGATAATGTCCACAATAAACGATTGACCTGGTACTTTCTAAAGTCATGAATGCGACGTTTGAAGCTATCTTGACCACAATAACAAGAGAGAGACTGGCTATTTTTTACAGTCCATCCACGTCAGCCCAACCAAGTTGCCAAAACGAGGTCAGGTCAACAAATAAATGATTACGAAAAAAAGCAACAATCCCTTTTTACATTCATTCCAACACTGAATCATAATTGGTGTTGTACAATATAAATCAATTAAACTAGACATATTGAGTCGCATCTCCAACAATCTTTCTTGTGGAAGGCTATTAGGTCTCAACAAAAACGCAATGCAGCTGGAATATTCAATAAACAGACATAAGAAATGTGGCAGTTCTTATCCCAAGAAGGGTGAAGATTTGATATAGATCAGGTTCACATGGGTGAATTTTGGTACATCTTTTCTTTCAAAGATTTAGGCAAAGACTCCAATACTCTACGGTATATTTGGAAAAGTTAAAAGTTAACTTCATACATTCATACATTCATACATTCAGAATGTCCGAGGGCTACCAGAAGGAATTGTTCTCCCCTGTCTGGCTGAACATACGGTGAGAAGCATGTGTATTAGAGAGGGTTTATCCGCTAGTCGGAGAATTCCTCCTCTGTTGACAAGTCAAGATGGTCGGAAAAACCTTTAGAATTTCCATCTGGGTCAGATAAATCAGCGGTCCCGTGCGAGTATGCTAAGCCTTTAAGTATTTCTGACTGTAGCTAAATAGTCTATCTAAATCCGCTTGGAAATCGCAGTTTTTTGGTCAAGCATCTTCTATTCCTCCGAGAATATAGACGACAAACTCCCAGTAAATCAGACATGATTTTTGTTTTCTGATAAACCATGATTGTATAATTGAAAAACCGGAAAGAAATATTGTGCTTAAAAAGGAGTAATCAAATAGCTTTCACATATTTCCCATTATGGAGGACCAATCAACAATCTCGTGTAAATATGCAAATCCTTAAAGTATTTTCGACTGTCGCTGCAAATCGGCTGAGAAATCTCTCATACGGGGAGAATAGCGGGACATTACAAACTCTTGGGAAATAAAGCCAATTTCACTCTATTTACGACTATGAATGGAAAAACATTATACCATTCGGATGTCCGATGGATATCATGAATA